TGTGTGTGTGTGTGTGTGTGTGTGTGTGTGTGTGTGTGTGTGTGTGTAAAATAACTATCTCACTCATCGCTTATTCCAAAAGTCATGTTAAAAGTCAGGATATCTATTCTCTGTCTTATATTTGCATGATTATCCGTAGTATTGTCATAGTTGTATCTTATAAAATCATGTTATATTGGTAGTATTTCAGGGAGTATTTAATCTACATTCAGGTTTGGTTCATTTGTTCCACAAACCTCCTGATGTCTTGGTTTCCACCTTGTTAATGTGACCTACAGGAGTTGTACAGCCAGTCCTATGATGAGATTGGAGTCATGTTTGCCTCAATTCCCAACTTCTCTGACTTCTACACAGAGGAGAGCATCAATAATGGAGGAATCGAGTGCTTACGGTTTCTCAATGAGATCATCTCTGACTTTGACAGTGTAAGCTGCTTCCCTTTTCTGCTTGTGTGTGTGTGTGTTTCCTAGCAGTAGTGTCTGGAGATACACAGCATGAGACTGTAATAACACCCAGCATAAGACATTAGACAGTCGCCTAGATTTAATAGGCATTCATTAATGAAAGTTGTAACTTGTTGCTAGCTTTAGCGCTGGCATATTCCATTCATTATGCTGCCTGTCAAACGTCTGCTGAGCATTAGGATTTTCTCTTGACCAAAAGAACAGTAGCTGTTTTTGAAGTAGTGGGAGGTTCAGTCCCTGTACTTCCACCCTCAGTCCGTTTAAACCTCCCCTTTCATCTGTTTCCATGTCAGCTGCTGGATGAACCTCAGTTCCGCTGCATCACAAAAATCAAGACCATCGGCAGCACCTACATGGCAGCATCAGGTGTCACCTCAGATGTCAGCAACGGCTACACCTGCATGAAGGTCAGACTGATCACATGGCTTCTCCGGGCTTTAGTGTGTGTCTCTGACTGATTGAAGCAACAGGGAAAACTCTGAACGTAGAAGTCAATGACTGCATCGCTATGCTGATTTTCTATTAGAGTCTAATGTGATGATATATCTGAATAATATGGACATGATACAGTACGGAGTCTTGGTCCTTCTTGGGCTTCACAAATGCTCATCAGTTGTGATAAAATGCTGATTGTTCTTTCCAGTCATGATGACAGAGGGCTTTGTTTGACAGAAGGAGGAGCAGTCTGACAGAGAGCGCTGGCAGCACCTGGCAGACCTGGCAGACTTTGCTCTGGCCATGAAGGTCACACTCATGAACATCAACTACCAGTCATTCAACAACTTCATGCTACGCATCGGTACGTGTTAACCCCTTCACACCAAGGTTTTCTTCTGTGTTGTACTTCTGTCCTTGGTGTTATTCATGTACTATACATTCCCTAATAAAGACCCATGTGAAAACAATAACAGCTTGCATTGTAAATTGGCAGGTCTATATTGTTATCGGGATGGAATTAGTGCTGTGAAAAGGTTAATATACGGAATTTATCAAGGCAACAGGTAAACATGGAGGAGGTGTTGAGTTTGTTTTAACCGGAGCAGATCAGAAAACAGCGAGGCACATTACTTAAATATGATGGACAAACAAAGAAGATTTGCTAGTATATACCTGTTTCATATAAAGGCCTTGTTCTTTCACTGGTTGAGTTCATATCTGAGCATTATTTGTGTGAATGCTGGAATAATTAGTAAGTAGTAAGTATATATAGTATAACTACAGTATATATATATATATATACTATATAGTGTTTGTCATCAATCTCCCAGTCTGAATCTTACATGTCCCACGTGTCAACACTCATCCAGGTCTGAATAAGGGCGGAGTGTTAGCAGGAGTGATTGGTGCCCGAAAACCCCACTACGATATCTGGGGCAACACTGTGAACGTGGCCAGTCGCATGGAGTCCACAGGGGTCATGGGAAACATCCAGGTACAGCACTGAGTATTACTGTGGGTTTCTGGATTACTTAACAGTGTTTATACAACTTTCAAAATGAGTACTGTTTAGAGTAGTTTTAAAAGCTTTGGTGATGAGGCATGTTTTAATCCAGGTTCATTGTCTGTGTATCTTTACATATAATGACTAGCAGAGTTGTTCACCTCACCACATTGTACTCAAGCACACTTTCCAGTGCTACTGCAGCTACTTGAAAATGCTTTAAGTTTGGATATACCTCTAAAATCTGCAAATCAAAATCAAGAGGAAATAAGTGACCACATTTTCATAAATCATCCTTATGGTAAGACAATATGAAAATGTTTTGTTTTTTTATTAAAGCACAAATAACGTGTGATAAAGCTTCCGTCAGGAAAAGCAGCTAATTCGAAACTGAAAATTGTGATATTTCATCAAAATCACTTCAAATGTTTCCCAAAATGAACGTAATGACATTACATTACAGAACAGCAGCGTACAAACACAGAACATTGAAAATAGAACTTTACTGTCCCTACACCAGACCACAGAGCCCTGCTGTTATTGTCCATAAACAAGTCAACTTTATGAACTGGAGAGGTTTGAAGTAGAGGTTGTAAAAGTGTACATCGTTCAATATGTATAGCATGTGGAGCGTCAATTTATGAGTAACAATTGTGAGTACAAATATATTGGATATATAGATTTCGTTGTTTTTTGTAAAAGAAATGATCAAATAAATTCAAATTGGATTCAGGGATTAGTCCCTGTGCTGATTATACAAGATGGTGAACAGGTCCCATACCTCGGGGTACATCACACACAGGGCTTCCCTTTGTCAACATGTGGAGGATACTGATGTTCACTCCCTCATCCAGCCTTTACAGCTTGTGCTGAGGTTGACATACAGTGTCATACCACACACACACACACACACACACACACACACACACACACACACAGACACACACAGGAGAAATGGTAAAGACAAGTGGCCATGAGCCTGAGCTGATCACAAGCGGGTCACGAGGACCCTTTAAAGGGAAGTGCTGCACAGGCATGTGGTTAGTTCCAAAGACATACAGTAACAGAAGGAATACATGATCAACCTGAGTGCTAGTTTGCTTTCACACTATCCTTCCATCAGTATGCGTCAGTTCAGGTAATCCGATGACTTTTTGATTGTAACTTTAAATAATGGAACATTATAAAGTCAATCTCCCTGAAAAGCTCCAAAAACTCATTAAGATTTCACTAATGAATATTTTGATGTCAAGGATTTAATGATTAAGTGTAATGTGAACTATGGCCAACTTTAAGCTCTCATCAACCTTGACGTTAGCAGCTAAAGAGAGCGATATTTCCCTCAGGTGTTGGTGGAGACTAAAACCTGATCTAAAAGGGAGTGCATGCTGGACTTAGACTAGATTCATCAGATGGAAACAAACACATTGCTCTGTGCCTGCTGGGTGATTAAATCAAAGGTGACGCATTCATTAAAACAACTCGGTAAGACAGAAGAATGTGTCCGTCATCCTATTGCAGAGTTCTTCTGCCTGAAAGTGGCACACTATATCAGTGAGTGGAGCTTTGACAGTTATAGCGCTCATTTCCCTCATAACAAGTCTGGAACTACAGCTGCTTCAGGGAGTTTGAGATCAAATTTGAACCACAATATACATTTATACCTTTTTTTTTAAGAAGACCTTCTTTTGATCTGCATCAACAGAGTTCATGTACAGTAACTAAGACTAGTTGCCACATTTATTTTCATACAAAACAGTGTTATAGTTCAATGTTGCGTCTGTCCTCGAGGTTGTTTTAAAGGAGGTCATCACAATCCCATGTCCACGTTCTCCTCTCTGCTGCTTTAGTTCATTTACGTCTGCAAACACAAACACAATTTGGAATTAAAATGTCAAATTTTTTCTGAGAAACCGTCTGAAAGCGTGTGTGTGTGTGTGTGTGTGTGTGTGTGTGTGTGTGTGTGTGTGTG